CGGGCTGAACCTGACATCATGGAGTCTGGAGAGATTGATGTCAGGTTCAGCCCAAAGAACTCCACCAGACAGTGCAAATACAGTTCTGTTGCGTTTATTAGCTTCCACCTCAACACAGAAATCTCTCCAGACTGAACCTAAGTTCCCAAGCCAGCAAGCCACAACACCGTGAATTCCTTAGGGTGGTGCCAGCCTCATCTTCTTGAACTTCCCACGCTCCTGTTGGGGGCTAAGAACATGCTTATCTCCCCGAGCGTGGCCTTCATAACACCATTCCATCACAACATCAGCAAAACCCATTTTCTTTTGAAGCTTGCTATTTCAAGCTTGGCTGGTGTCATGATGATGATGAGGATGATGAAGATGAGGATGAGGATGTCCATTGCAAAAGCTGCCAAAATGCAAACCAGCTCGTTGCCCTTTGCACAGGATAAGGGAAACCTCCTATCTAGATTACTGACCGAGTAGTGACACGTCTCCAGGACAATGACGCGGTTGGCAAAGGTCTCATTATGGGCTTCAATAACAAGCGTTCTCTCCCGCCAGTTCACTGTATTTTTCTGTATGAAAAAGACATATTCTACCCCGGCAATCTGGAAGAAACATGAGAAAAGTAACAAGAACAGCCTGGAAGGCGACTGAAGAGCAAGGGTGTGGGGCTTTTGAGATAGCTTAAAGATAATCACTGTTAGAAGGAATTGTAGCTCTTACTTTCTTGAGCAACCGAGGTGCATCCACGTTCAATTTGCAACTCCTTTCAATGATATGAATGGCTCCATCTTCACTCTTGGATTCACGAAGGATCTCACTGCCCAAAAAAACTGGAATCTCAGGGCAGGTTGGAAAACGTTTTTCATAAGCCTAGGAAGGAAGGAAGGAAGGAAGGAAGGAAGGAAGGAAGGAAGGAAGGAAGGAAGGAAGGAAGGAGAGTCAGTGCACAAAGAGCCATTCTTTTAGGCTGTAGTTAAACAGTCATTTCTATGCCTGCAAAATATTGCATCTGTAAAATGTCGTATGCCTGTAAAACATCTATGCTTGTAAAATATTGCAGAGAGCTAATTTGGTGTAGTGGTTAAGGCATCAGGCTAGAAACCGGGAGACCATGAGTTCTAGTCCTGCCTAGGCACAAAGCCAGCTGGGTGACCTTGGGCCGGTCACCTTCTCTCAGCCCTAGAAAGGAGGCAATGGCCAACTACTTCTGAAAAACCTTGCCAAGAAAACTGCATGGATTTCTCCAGGCAGTCTCCGAGAATTGGACACGACTGAACGGATAAAAAAATATATATTACAAAATAAGAATGCAAGTTGTCTGTCATTTTAAGCACATCTCAGAGGAAGTCCTAACAAATTCGGGGGGGGGGGTGTCTTACTTTCATGAAGATACTTCAGGTCAGGCTCTAAAACTTGCAAGAAACAAACTAACTCATGAAGCTTGAAAACTCAAACCATACGGTCAAAATCAAGGAACGGGACTGCAAAATACAGTTTTGCTGAATAAAGGCCAATTATCCAGTCCCTGGAGCAACATTTAAAACCTTGCATGATAGAAAGACTGCAGAGCCCAAAATAGGGGCTTAACTTATTTGCAGAAAAGAACCAAAGAAATATTGCTGAATCCAGAAAACGCTCTGCACATCTGTGATAAATCACTCTTGAAACGCCCTCCTCAGCATCTGAAAGATGGACATTCTATTGTCCATGCAGAATAACGGGACTTGGAGGTAGCAATATTATTTCTAAAACAGTGCTAATTATGAAGGTTCTCTCACATTTCTTCTTCACTTAGATCTCCTAATGAAACGGGATCACTGAAGACCACAGATCAAGAAATACCTTGAAAGCAATTGAGTAAGCTTCAATTATAGTCAGGACATAAGCAGACATAATGTCGTTTATTTCATTTCATTTATTCTTTAGGTTATTCAGGTCTGAACCATTGCTGTTATGTAACCAGCTGGCTCTCAGTTCTCGAAAGAGACCGCCTGCCTTTTCAGCAGACAATGAAATATGCTTCGGTTCCATTTAAAGGGGAACAGTCACAGCATTGACCAGTTGGATTATGACCTTACAGGTATGAGTGTCAAGGGGACCCAAAAAGCTAAACACCAGTGGAGAAAGGGAACACCACACTGGAGCTTACAGGTATGAGTGTCAAGGGGACCCAAAAAGCTAAACACCACACTGGAGAAAGGGAAGGTGGAAAAAAACCGGAGAAACTTCCAACTGCTTTTCCATTTGAGCACAGCTAATATCAACCAGTGACCTTGACAAAGAGATTATACAACACATCCTGTGCTCTGATGGCCATAAATATCAGCAGTCAGCCTTTCAAGTGTTAAGCCAGAAGCAATTAAAAGCCACTGGAGATCATGTCAGTTCAACCCTGCTCCAGGTCAACTTCAAGTATCTTCTAAAGCCACGGTCCAGATTATCTATTGCAATTTCTCAAACTCCTCTCAGTTCAAAATGGAAATCAACAGCCCATAAAGATTCTCAGGAAGGCAATCTCGGTTTATTCCTCTTCAGGAGTATTTTACTCTACTATATGGGCATGCAGCAGTAGATGAATAAGCCCGGTCATTAACAGCTAGTTTTCATAAAGGACAGAGTGATATTCTGGTTCCGACTGGCTCTTAGAAATCCATAAATAATATGGGAAGCTTGGATACACCTTTCTTGCTTTTTGAACCATGGTTAGTGGATCCACTGATCCAAAAAGCAGGTTGCTATATGACATTCTGGCAGAAGGTGATGCAATCAACAAAGGTCTCCTAAAATAAAATTATGAAAAGCTGCTACTTTGGGCAGACTCCCAAAAGCACAACACACACACACATACACACCCCAACCTTTAAGAAACACACACTGGTTTGGACCAGTGTACCTAATTTTTGCCAAAAAAATCTCCCTTATGATTGCTTTTTTATGACTACCACATTAAACAATCAAGATCTTGTGCTTCACAGCACAGAAACTGATCACAAACCAAACAGTGAACAGCTGACTTGACATTTAACACGACTTGTTTGTAACACAGCATCTCTGCGAAGGATTAAATGACATTTAATGATGCATAAGCTCCCATATCTGCACAGAAGCCATGCATCAAGCAAAAAACATATATAGATGTGATTTATAAAGATCCACCTTAAGCAGAATTAATATACACAGGGATGAAGTTTCAAGATGACCCCCCCAAAAGGTGGCAGAATATTATTTTTTGTTGGAACCTGATGGGGAAAAAGGCCTTTTATGAACAAATTCACATATATGTTTACCTCCTCTCTAAAATAGGATGCACTTTTAATTAATTTATTTAAACACTCTTCTTCTAATGTGATATATGCTATCATCTGCCATCTCTGGATTCTTCATAGGACAAACAGGACAAACTTTGCACAAAGAATTAACAGACACAAGTTTAACACCAGGACTCAAAACAAAGTAATAGTAGAACATTTTAACCTTCTAGGACACTCTAGTACAGATCTCAAAGTAGCCCTCTTGGAAAAAAGAAACCTTGCTAGCATAATTAAGCAAGAGATTGTTAAGACTCACATAAATCAAAAGATTTCTGACAATTTTGGAAGGTTTCAACAGACACAATGGGTTGGTGTGTTTTTTTTTAATAAATTTTATTAATTTTTACAAAAAGTTAAAATACAGAAAAAAAATTTAAAAAGAGGAGAAAGAGAGAGAAAAAAAATGCATAGAAAAGAAAGAGTAGCTTCCGACTTTCCTTGGTACAGGTATAAATGTAAAATATATTCCTCTCTTACTCTATTATCTAAAAGTTTACATAATAAAACATAGCTTTAATTCTAATATTCAAAAAAATTCCTAAAATCAATCTATTGCGATAATACATATGATTTGTACAAGATATTTCTGTAGGTATAACATCAATCCTCGAATCCCAAAATCAAAATTGCATTTTTTTTTGCATGTCAAGCGAAAAGTCCAAGAGTGGTTTCCAGTTAGAAACACAGCTAGACAGTGCCCTCTTTCAGACATATTGGGTTTTTAACATGTTACAGTTGTTAATGTGTAATCTGTCTCACATTTAACCTGCATCTACATAACCACCCTGACTTCTGTCTTCCCTTCCTAAATGTTGTTCATCAGAAAAGGTGCCACCCGACTTTTTCTGATTCGTGGCCATTTCAACATATTGACTCTAGGGGGCTAATAATACATAAAACATATCAACATAAAAGTAAAAGCAATAGCTTAAATATCTATCACAACAAATAAACCACCTTAAAAAAATTCTAACCACCTTTATACACCAGGGTCATCTCACACACTGAACTAACACATTGCTAAGAGAAGGTCTTCAAAAGGCCAACATGGATTTCGGCCAGGAGCTGTCTCAATTTTGGCATACTTTAAGCCAGGATTTAAAGACTGAAGCTGCTGTACAAGGAGAATTATCTATATTCAGCTGACGGCAGATACCAAATAAATTTCATGGCCCAGCAAACTCAAAGTTTAAAGAAAAAATATAACACACACCTTCAGTGTCTTCACAAAGAACCAAGTTCTAAATGCTACATGTGCTGTCAACCGATTGGAATATATACCAAAATGTCAACCTGGGTAGGTTTTACATGTACGTTTTTAGATCTCTTTAATAAATTCAGTATATAAAACAAGGGTAAAGTTTTCTATATGTAATCCTCGGAGCAAAAAAAAAAATTAAACCGTCTCTCCTATCTGTTCAAGATCGTCCCTTTCTACGGCTCCTCCTCATTAAAAAAGTTAGTAGAAAGTTTCCCACGACCACAAACAGTCCTACGTCATAGCTCTTTTTCTATAAACTAATGTTAACTTCTATGTCAAAACAACATAAAAAATATATCCAACTGATCCTCTTGACTCCTAACAAACAATAACAAAAACAGCAAATATTCTATTTGGACAAAGATTGCCACACCAACCAACACAATGTCACAGTTCCTTCCTCCTTTATTTTATTCTGAATCCTTAAAAACGACAGTTGCTTTGTTTAATAATGACCAATCTCCTTTTGAATAAAATCGCATGGGGTTTAGAGGCAAAGTTTAATGGAGGCTGCCAGGCTTGTAAAGCAATCAATGTGTCGCTCTGTGATTGACAGTTTGGTTTCTGCCCACCAGAGAGTGCAGTAAAATTCAATTAACCGGAACATCTATCAGAACTGGGACTTAGGTCAGCAATTTAAGGATGTTATCTGTTCTGGATCTCTCCAAAAGGCTGAGATGGTGTTGGAAAGATGACCTGTTGGAAAGATGACCAACGCTATTTTTTTTTCTGATGTGCTCCACCAAACGCAGTGCGCAAACGTGCTCAAGATTCTTGCAACCGCCTGGGTTGACAAGCAGTGACCTCATTTGAACCTGCTTTAGGGGAGAGCAAATGATCATTGCACATGGTGACCCAGCTGTAGCCACTAACCAGAAGGAGAAGGTTACAACTGAAAACAGATTCCAGGAGAAATCACAGTGTGCCTAGGAAGAGCTATAAACAGGAACAATCCTCAGGGTTCAGCTTCCGGGGTCTTCACGAAAAAGCTTCAAGCAAGGAGATATTTGAGTAAGGTCTTCGTTAATACAAAATGCAGTCTGTTTTAAGTTGTTGTTCTCTCTCAGCCCACAGGCACTCCCCCAAATCTCATATATTGATATTTTACTCCCAGAACAAGTTAAATAACAAGCTTCCTTTATCGCCATAAGAGGACTGGCATGGCTGCAACAGAAGCAGTTAATCCAGCTTTTCAGCAAACAGCTGTTTCTTTTCCCTGCAACAACAGAATCAAGAGGGGAGAAGCAAAACTTGCTCCCACGTTTTTGCAGATACAGAATGCAATGGCTTCCTATGGA